GACCTCGGCACAGGAGCGGCCTTTGTAGTCCAAGACAACACCAACAAATACATCAAAGAAGAATATCATAAATTAGAAGCCCACTGCTCAAATAACCAAGCCGAGCTATGGGCTATGTTTAAAGCTCTGACAGAAATCACTAAAAACCTCCGAAAATATACAGGAAGCATCTATTTCATTACGGATAGCAGGTACGTGTTAAGTGTCATTGCTGGTACCGCCAAACGCTCCTCCACTGGCACAAATGTCTACTACCTAGCGACTAACCTACAAAAACGTAGGAAAATCAAATTCGTCTGGGCCCCCGGGCACAGCGGAATTCCTGGTAACGAAAGGGCTGATGCCCTTGCCAGGAAGGTTGCCAACCTCCATGTTACCCCCTCCTTTGGGAAGGTCCCCATCACTTACATTAACAAACTATTATACAATCAGATCATCGAGGAGTGGCAGAAGGATTGGACAGATTCAACAACTGGAAGGCTTACTTTCAATTTTCTGCCATCTGTTAGGAGTCGTCAACTCCTAAAGCACATCACCCCTTCCTATTATCTTACGCAGTGCCTCACCGGGCATGGGAATTTCCCAGCCTACCTCGCTCGGTTTGGCAAAAGAGAAGATGACAAATGTGACTGCAATGACTCTGTTATTGGGGACGCCCTGCACACTCTCCTAGACTGTCCTCACCACGATATGGAGCGCCAAGGACTCATGGGCTTCTGCCTAACTAATGGGCAAAATTGGCCCCCCAACTTAGACTTTTTATGCAGCAATGTTGGCGCCTTTAACCATCTCAAAAACTTTGTGAACAGCTGTAGCACTTACCGGGTCACCCACCCGTCCCCCCCTAGCAGGGGCCCTCTACTGTGTTCTCAATCTCTTCGGTCTGTTGTTCATCCCTAATCCACCACATGTGGCTCTAGCCGTCCTGTGACTGTGTTATTGGAATTGTGTCTAACAGCTGTAGGGTATTCTATGTCTAGTTAATGGTTAAAGTTGTTTGTTTGTTTGGCTTGTCCAATACCATTTTACCGGACCCCCCATCGGGATTCTCTTTGCACATCTCTACTCGTCTGATTTGTATATCTACATCTGTTCCATCAGTGTATCAACATGTACCATATCTATCAGTATGTATTGTTATCATCGGCCGCCAAAACGGCGCTCTGCTCTGTATATCTATTTGTATTCTAAACAAATACGGCATAAGTCGTCTGTATGATCGCAAATTTACCTTCCTTTCTAAACCTTATACTCTCTAACAATCCCCGCTTCTCCCCCCACCTCTCCTTCTCCATGTCTTCCTTCACACTCCCCTGTCTACCGTTATTTCACATTCGGTCTCTTTTTCCTTACCTTCTCCTTCCATCTCTATAGAGCAAAGTCTGCCGCTAAATGACAGACAGCTCTTCTATTCTTTAAATAAAGTAAAGTCAGTGGAATCATGCTCGATATTCCAAACACCATTGTCAAACTTCTAGGCTTACAGGAAAGCTGCGCTGAACGTCTGATGTACACGTTTCCACGTTTAAAACTTCGGCCTCAACCTCGCTAATGATGAGGTCCATCCTCCACACCACAGTATTGGCAGTCTTCGTTGGAATGGTTCTTGAATCTGTGCAGATAGTTATTAAAATTGCCATGGTTGGTTATAAACTGTGTGGTATAGTGATCGGAAATGAACCACTTAAAGAACTGTTTGATGTCGAGAATAAAACGTTTGGTAATATTGTTGTGATTACTATTGATGGTCCAGGAGTTCTGCCAGCTCTGTATGAGATCGTTCCAAAGTGCGGATTTTATGTAAGCTTTGCTGAATTTCTTGTAGGTAGCTGGGATGTTTGAGTTTAGAGCAGCGGCCTTTGCCAGGGTATCTGCTCTCTCATTGCCAATCGTGCTGGTATGTGCATAGGCAGAGCCGTAACTAGCCATTCCTGTGCCCTGTGCAAGAATTTGCATTTAGGCCCCTTAATTTATTTGGTTTGGGAAAATAATAAAACAAATATATTACAATAGATTTTTAATAAGATTTATTTTAATTGAACTTTTCTGGCTTTCATTTCAGCAAATTCATTAATTACATGATCATAATTAAAAAATGATGTTCCTTTGTTCTGATGACCAGTAATCTGATTTATTTCTCACCTGAAATGAAATGTTTCTGACAAACTCTTGTATTGATATTCACTTTATACGTATTGAAATTTTTCTGGTTAATTCTCGAGAGCCATTCAGATTGCCTTCGTCGTGAAATCTCCTCAGTTTGAGGTCCTTGATGACAAATAATGCCGGGATTTTAAAAAAATGATGTTACTTTGTTCTTGATTGAGCATTACACCCAACAATTCACTATTCGCGTTTTTCACCGGATGCTCGCCCTCTGGTGTTTAAAAACAGAACTACTCTATCTGGGTCGTTTGAATGTTCTTCGTATATTGTCAACAGTAAAGATGAATAGTAAAAGTAAAAGTAAAGCTTTCTGTTGTGTTCCAGATTGTAATTCCAAAGCCATACGCGATCCCGATATAAGTTTTCATGTATTCCCACATGAAAAACAGATAATTTTTCGTAAATCAGAATTCGGAGAATCTCAGAAATGTAACCGACGGAAAGAGTGGATTCGACTGCTAAGAATTGGCAAAAAAGTTAGGAAATATATGGTAGTATGTTCGAAACATTTTACTCCTGAAGATTATATTTTGTCATATATACTATCATGTTTTTATAAATATGTTCAGATTATTCTAATTCGATAGTATTAAAAAATCAAACTGAAAAAGATTGCATAGAGTCTAAGTATAAAGTAATTTAGTATTTGTATTCGTTTTTAACATATACTATAGGATTATTTTCAATAAAATGTAATTCTATTCAATTTTATATGATATGTCGATAAACTTTAAAATTCCAGTAATTTTGTGTGGAATAGAAGTCAATGCTGATGTTTGCAGACAAAGAGCACAAAAATGTACAGAACGATCTTGCTCGTTTTTCTCGATAATACCACATAAAATGACGTGTTCTGCTAATAATACTTGTTCTCCTTCTATAAAATTTCTCGATGAACTGCTACAAGTAGCATATTTCATTATATCAGATAGTAATATATAATTCATTTTACATTGACGACTAACAAACGACCCAGATAGAGTAGCCATTTTGTAAAAATACAGCGCCCTCTATAGTTCATGAAAAACGCGAATA